TTAAGGAAAGAAAATTAAGGGTTTGGTCTAGGGTTATTTGAGGCCCAAAGTTGAAAGTCCTAATTTTAAATACGTTAAAATTCGTATATGCATCGTTACAAAATATTATTTCATATTTTACTACGTAATGTTTAAAGTATTAAAAATACTGTTTTGTATATGAAATAGATTAAAAATTACTAATTTCCAATAATAGAACCCAAATGACTTTTTGTAACTAAAATGTTTTGAATACTCCATCCTCCACATCTCCCATTTAATACATCTTCCTAAAAAGGAAAATCAATTCAAAAATATGTATGAAGATCAATTTGTGAGAAAATCTTGGTTTCTTGAATTATTCAAAAATATGCCTTGATTAAATCTTGTGTAGCTAATCCCAGAATGGAAAACACAAGGCTCGACTGGAATGCCTTTTTCTTCCTTCTTTGCAAGCCAAGCACTCACCCCACACAAAAGAGAAAATTAAACTACATGACAGCATAAGAACAAATAATGCTACAAACTTGTGTTCATCTATGCTATCTGCAATCTATCGGTGAAACGGAGAAATGAATTCCAAAAGAATACAACACACAAATGTGAATCAAAGAATACAACACACAAATGTGAATTCTTTGATTCGTGTAATACTTGTACATATTAAATCTTGCGTGAAATATGTATGAAGATCAATCTGTGTTATATTTTTTTTGGGGTTTTTGTTTTTGGATGGAGGTGATTCACATTCTACAATAAAATTGGAGGAAGACGACAATGTGAATCATTTCTTTACTTTGTGAGATTTCTACATATTACATCTCGCATGAGATATGTATGAAAATCAAATTGTGAGATATTTTTTGAGTTTTTTTTTAAATGAAGATGATTCACTTTCTACAATGAAGATCAACAAGAGTGATTTTAGGGCTTTCTAGATAATTCATACATAAGGGCGTGTTTGTAGGAATCAAAATGTATTAGTTGTAAAGGCGTGTTTGTAGGAGTAAAATAAGTTACCTAATTTATTATTCTTTTGATTTAGAAAATATTCAATGTTTTCTTTTTACTATGGGTTATGCCACTTTGCCAGAAAGTGGTTGACGGATAAAGTAATATAATGAGTGTTGACAAGATGTGATTTGATGAAAAAGTTAACCTTATTTAAAACAATTCAATGATAAAATATCATGTGACATTATGTCATATATTATGTCACTGTAGCATGATTTTTATTTTTAAAAAAACGTTTACAAAGTATTTTTTAAATATTTACTGCAAGTAAGGTGGGTGGCACAGTTTTCACTTAAAATATATGCAATTGACATTGATCAAATTGAGAGATACGAACACAATGATTGTTGTATCAGAAAAGAATTTTGTGGGCAGCTCAACCAGCCAACTGCCTTGTTTTTACGTTTCAAATATAGCTGTTTGAGAAGATAATCAAATTGACTTAAGGATCGATTTTCGATTTTTCTTGTCTAATCGACAGGTTCGATCTGAGAGCCACGTAATGTGAGATATTGAAAGTATTGGGGTACACAACGCTCATCTCTCTAAATAAATCAACTCACAACAGAACTCAACACAAGCTTAAACTAAGCTACCTCGACCCACCAATTCATTGATCAAATTAAGATTAAATTTGATAAAAGTTTTAAGAAATTAAAATTTAATAATGTACACACTGTAAAGAAAAATTGAGGATTAGTTTTCATTAATAAATTATATTATTTAACTTAAAACAGATTTGGATTAATCGGAATAAATTAGTCATGATCGACTATATAGAGTTAATATCACTAATGGTCACTAAAGTTGAAGCAAAATTTCAAACTGATTATTAAAGTATTTTTACGTCAGGTTTATTTACTAAAGTTAAATAATGTTACATAATTGATCGCTAGTCTTATCAACGCCACATTCAACATAGTAGAAGTTAAACCTTCAAATAGATTAACGACTGATAATACAATCGATCCTTCCACTTGGCCTCCTATTTTAGCTCTGTCAAACCTTTTCATTGTTTATTAATTAAGGAAAATAAGGTTAGGACAAAAGAAAGCAATCTAAGATTTTTAACAACGTTAAATTTTTTTCTTCTAGAAATTATGTTTTGTTTTGAAGATATTACAACATTGACAAGAGATTTTGTAAGCCGGCCTCGCATATAGAGTGGATGCCACTAAATGAGTGACCAATTATGTAATATTAAATAACTTATTGACTAAATATGTAATAAAAATACTTTAGTGACCAATTTGAAATATCACTTGAACTTCAATGACTATTTTTGAAACAAACTCGACCATATACACAGGGTTAATTCTCTAAATGATTACTGGACTTTTCTTAAAGTTCCCACGGGGTATACTGAACTTAAAAACTACTCTCCTTAGTCATTTAACATTGAAAATTGGTACCACATTCATCACTGCGTTGGACGATTTGTGAATAAAAAACGATCACATACCTGTAGACTCATACTCAACGTTATCAAATCCTTTCAATTGTGCAAGCGTTTTTTACACAGTGATGGGTGGAGTACCAATTTTTTAAATTAAATGACTAACGGGGACGATTTTTAAATTCGGTGACCCATGAAAACTTTAAGAAAAGTTCGACCATTAAGGAAATTAACCCCCATATGCACATTCAAACTTTTGGACACAAAATTGTTTCCAATTTTGCCACTGACAAATATATCAATTCCCTTTTCCACTCCAAGATGAAAGCACAGTCCACTTTTTCCCTCATCACAAATTCCCCCAACTTTCCCGATATTCTTCACCCCCACCTCGGTGCCAATTTCAGTTCAATCCAATTTCAAGACACCATTGAAGCCACTTCTCTCGAGGTCAGCTCTTAACCATTTTCTTGATTCTTCGCACATATAGAGGAATCTGCATATACGAACATATGTTAGGGTTAAGAATTTGATCTTAGGTTCTCGAAATTTTATTCAGTTCTTGATTGTTATATATTGAATGGGATTTTAGTTTGTTTTAAGGGATGATGCCTCAACCCCGAAGAAAAAAGTGGACGGAGGCAGAGGAAAGGACTTTAATAGACAAGTATGGTGAGATGGTGTGTAATGGGACTTTGGTTAAGATGAAAACTCGAGAGAAAAAATATAAGCCCATTGCCTTACAGGTGAATTCAGTACACCATGTCCGAGACCCGGCCATATACCCGTGGCAGTGGACTTGGAAAGATGTGTCAACCAAAGTGCAGAACATGAGGCACCAGTATGCCTTGGTGAAGCAGAAGATTAAGAAGCCTGAATCATTGGTGGGAGGCAGTGAGGAATTCGATTGGGTGGAGGGCGTGACACATTGGTCCAATTTTCTTAGGTATAAGGAGGTGTTTGGGGATGTGCCATTAATGTTTAGTGGCAATGATTCCATGGTGGTTGTGGGGGACGTGAATGAAAATAGAGGAGGATTCAAGGGGAGTGGTCAAATCGCGCAATTTGGGCATTTGGGACAACCAGCAGATGGGGATTTCGCAGCTGGGATTGATGGGGTTGATAATGGGGCCATGGATTTGGAGTTCGACTATGATGCAGAGGAGGGTGAAGAGAATTATAATGGAGGTAATAAAAGTGATATACCGATGAGAGATGGAGATGACGGATTTGTTTGTGAAGATATAGAGCTGAATGGATCAGATACGAGGAAAAGAAAGGTGTCAGAAGGGCTAGAGAAGAGGGCGTGGGGATTTCTTGTTAATCAATTAGGGAGCTTGAGGGAGATGGAAACTCGATTTGAGCAGCATGAGGTGGGGAGAGAGCGGGAGAGGCAGCGGAGAGAGCATCTTCGAATGGAAAATGAGCGTGAACGCGAGAGGAAATGGGAAGAAATGGAAAAAGATCGAGAAGGGAGGGAGAAAACTAAGAAGAGGAGGCAGAGAAATCAACAATGGGAAGCTATGGAGAGGGAGACTGAAGAGAGAGAACAAAGAAGAAGAGAGGAAGAATTGATAAATGAGCAGGAATGGGAAGAGAAACTGAGTCGAAGGAGATCAGAATGGAAGAATAGGATTGATGAGATGCTAACTCAACACCGAGAGGAAATGGGCCAGATTCAGGCTCGAATACTTAATGAACAGCAGAACCTTACTAATCAGTTGCTTGGAATTGTTTCACAGTGGACTAGTCATCCCACCGGGCTTTCTGATCACACGGGAGCTAGCAGCCATTATTTGTCACAGATGATGCAGAACTTGCACCATGTAAATGGTATGGTTCATGGTGATGCACGAGTCGAAGTTGATAATCAAGAGGACCAGTTCATTGTTGATGGATAATGCTATATTTTCATTTGATATGTCCCTTACCGAGATTCAGGCAATTGAGAGCACCTCCTCAACAATATGTAACGCCAGAAGCATACCCCTAGGTAAAAGGCGCCCGAAGGAACCAGAGGTGTGGAAATATTAAGGCTTGAGCATTGTCCGATAGATGGAATTATTAACTTTAGTTAGATCTCTGTACTACATCTGTGTAGTTTATATTCTTTACCTTCTTGTTTTCTCACATTCTTTTGAGGTTTCTTCTAATCTTACAGTATAGCTTATATAATTCTCTGCGTAATTTTTGTTGTAACCATCATCATATAAAAGTCTCCAATATTTCATTTAATTTACATAGCATTGGCATTCCATGTGCAGATTGAACGATATAATTGCTCATGCTATTGGACGCATGCCTAAACTCGAACATGAATGTCATATGAATGCTGTTTCTTTAAGATGAAATGAAGCGAATATAATGTAGTTTCAACGTTGTCATGTGTTCTCTCGAAATAACTCAAGTTTTTTAAATAAATTGCTTCAACAAACAAATAATGCTTAAATTGGGGAATAACAACGACGAAATAACTCAAGTTTTTCAAATAAATTGCTTCAACAAACAACACAACTAAATAATACTTAAATTGGGGAATAACAACGAGAAGATGCTAACTAGTAATGGCAGAGATCCATCGAGTCTAGAGTTTGTAGCATGACTGAGAAAGTCACTTTGAGGCACTACTATTATCAGCCCGTAACTCTTCGCGCATTTGTTGCATCAGTATTTCTTCTATACTGTCCAAAAAGCTCGATATATTCTGACGCAAGTTAGCATTCAACGAGTTTGCCACTTCCTGATCAACACTCAAAATAACAAATATTGTAATTTAATTGCGAAACAAATTTGTACTTCATCAGTTCAGTGAAATATCGTGATAAAGAGACAAAGCAGGGAGATTACTCACCACGATCTTGCAAAGGAAGCTCAAAGAAATTTCCTTTGAGTACTGACTTGAGTTCTTGAGTGATATCAATTCCAATGCCGAGTTCAAGAATGGCCAGCCTTGAGACAACTTTATGAAAGCATCAACACCACCCACCATATGTGCTACTATCATGTCTTCTCTATCCAAGTATTCGATTGAGTGCCTGCGTCAATAACAAGAAATTGCACAAAAAGAAACTGGAATGAGAATTCTAAGACATAAAAATGTAAAAAACCATAGAAGTGGCTACTTAGAGATCAAGAATATGACTTAACAGACCAACAAGTTTTAACACTACTTGTAAAAGGTATGTGTTTGTGGTGTACGTGGGCGTGTACTGTGTAGTAGACGGAAATATAGTACCACAGGCCATTTTTATAAAGGAGTTGGCATAACTAGTTCTCATGATGCACCCTTTTATCTAACTAATATCAGTAGAATTACATTCTCTCATGATGGACTTGGTTCTTTGCAAAATTTATGGCAGCTTGATTGCCACATAACATATTCATTGACTTCTCAGTAGTTCAAGTAACCTTTTCAGTTACATTCCTTCACATATACTGTGTTCCATAGTTGTGAATTCAGCTTCATCACTTCTTCTTGCAACTACATGATGTTTCTTGCTTCACCATGTAATAAGATTCCCCTTTACATAAGTGCAATAATCAGAGGTGGATCTTTTGTGGGTAAGTGAGCCAGTTCAATCAGCATTTGAAAATATTTCAACATTCCTGTTTGTACCTTTTCAAAAGTACAAGCCCTTACCTGGAGTCATTTCTAGATATATGGGGATCCGACATACAGCATCAAGATGTTCTTCTATTGGGTTATTCATGAACTTGCTAACCACACTTGCTGAGAAACTAAAGTTTGGTCTTGTATGAGAAAGATATATCAATTTGAGTAATACTATTTATCATCATGATGATGGAACATCGATGATGTGAAAACCCATTATCCCTCACATTTCTCTATCTCCTCCCCCTCTCTCATAAAAATTGAACTACCAAATCTCATTATTCCACTAAACTGCCACATCACCGATGTTCCATTATCATAATTATAAATAGCATTATTCTATCAGTTTTCCTACAAGTCTTAGGTATCTTCCTTTGTCGACTGGAGAACTTCCTTCTTTCACTCCGACTTTACATATTGGATCCATGAGGGTGTGTGTAGGCTTGCATCGTAGCATTCCAGTTTCCTTTAGTAAGTCTACTGGTGGACAACAAATTACAAGTTTGATTTGAAATCAACATGACATATTTTAAGATTAGGTTCTTCGAGATAATAATAAAACTTGTACCAACCACTGTAGATAAGGATCCATCAGCTATTCCAACTTTAAGAGTTTTCAGAGCAATGCCTACAAGAACTAGTTCACCTGAGTTAATTATCCAGGAACGTGATTTTTGTGTTTTGACATTAAGTGCGCTTAAGAATTTACCTTTTCAAGCCGTGGAATTAGTTTTAATGATAGCACCAGATGAACTAGTTTGAAAAAAATCTTCTGGAGGAGATCCAATTGCACTTTACTGAAGATTGGTCCTTCAGAAGTTGGGTGCACATTTGCAGTAGCTACGGAACCATGGTTTTGAAGTTCAGGAGGTGGCGTCAATGGCTTCCACTCAGCAGGTTGCCATTCAACTTCGAGCAGGTGTCTCATTCGTGTCTGGTCTACGACAGTAGTCACACCATGGCATTGCATTTATAGTTCGATTTTTGTTGACTGATGAGTTGACTCCACGAGAGACAAGGTCCGAACTTTCAATTGTGACTGAGGTGTTTTGATTTCCCATCATAACCTTCTTCCTTCTCTCCTCTCTTAGGACTTCAAAAAATGCTTCTTGAAAGGATTTTGGTGGTTTAGTTCCAAAAATTCTTCCTCTCACTTCATCTAAGTTTTCATTGAGAACCAACGAAAACTTTTTTCCTTTCGTTCTCAACAATTTTCTTGTATTTGATATCATCTCCAGTGAAGTCCCATTTTGTGTCTTCAAACATATCTAGTTATTGCCAATATCAGGTGAGAGTACTGAAATACTAAGTGACAGATAGTTCCCTTGTCGCAGATCGTGTAGAATACTCTTTTAACTCAAAAGAGTTCAGTTGTATTTTCATTGCTGGAGTAGGTTTCTCTTACTGCATCCCATATCTCTGCCGCTGTCCCATAGAACTTGAAATTCTCCCTAATGTCATTATTCATGGAGTTGATCAGCTATGACATCACCATGTTGTTTTCAGATTTCCACACACTGTATTTAGGATCTTCTATAGGTGGAGACTTCACCAGTACCAGTAAGATAGTTTTATTTTCCCTTCCCACAAATAAATATCATAGCAGATTGAGACCATCAAAGAAAATTGCATCCATTAATATAATGGGAAGGACAGAACTCTAACACATAGTTGCTGGAGACAACAGCATCGGAGGTTTTCTCGTTGGTGTATTTATCACATATTTGAACCGAATCCGAGAGAACAATCGAAGAGCTTGTGTGATTTGAGTGTATGGGTCACAATCAAAACTACGCTTGGAAGAGAGGTCACGACTCAAGAAGAGTAGTCGCATAACTTTGAGCGTGCTGGAGAGAGGTTGTGATTGCTGGAGGAGATGACATGTTGCCTGGACAAGGAGTCGTGACTGGCTGACTGCTAGAAAGAGAGGATTCGCAACCTTGAGTTGGCTGAATCGTGAAGATTTGATGTCGAATTTTGGATTTTGATTCTGGAATTGATGAATTAGGGTTGCAAATTTGGGAAATTAGGGTCACGAATTTGGGACAATTAGGGTTTCCTTTTCCTCAACCAATTCGGTCAGCCTTGGTTTTGTCTATCTCAATTGCTTAACATCATGTAATCGTTAAGCAGGGACTAGTGGGGAATAGAATAGGTCAAAATGAATCCCAATCTTTTTGCCGGACGGGCTTTCGAATAATAATATTTCAATATTACTAAATCAAACGGTGCTAAGCGCAAGGAGTCTTAGAGTCTCAATACTGACTAACGGAAAAGGAACCGTCCATGATCACTATTAATCACGATTGTGCAATCTTAAGTGACTGGGCTCGAGACATCGTACTGGGCCAACAGCTTGCTCACCACTATCTTTATCTAATTGTTAGTGACTCTTCCTCTTTTCCCACGCCATTGCGACAGGAGGGGACTTGCCCATCAGCCTACTTTGACAAAAGGTGGCAGGAGCGTTCTCGTATGGCAACTGTTGGAACAAACTCCAAATCCCCTCTGGGGGAACAACGGAGTTTTCGCCCGTCCCTCTAGATTAGCCTATTCTTTCACCAACCTAATCTCCAAAAAAAAAACACCGTGAACAAACGACTGACTCGGTTGCTCTCCCTTCCTCAAGTACCTTCAGTAACTCTGTCTTTATCAGTTCCTACTTTCTTTTATTTCAGATGCTCATTCTTGGTCCCGATACTCTTCTTTCAGTTCTGTTCCATTCCAGGCTTTCCATCGAGTACACGTACAACAGCTCTATCTTATAGCCTGGCGCGGCAAGTCGCCTTTTGAAAGCATTTGCAGACTGAGGCAATTTTCTATTGACCTCAAGTCAATTAATTACTAAACCAAGTCTACAAAAATAAACTTTAACTAATATAGTATACAATCGAAGACTGCACTAGAAATAAAGGATTTAGGATTGGAATTCCACGCTATCTTATCCACAATTTAGGTTGCTCATCAAATGAAACTTTTAGATGTTTGTAATTTGAAAAATGAATTGCCTAATGGCAACAGTTTATGTTTATTTGCACAATATTTTCATTTTTCAAATAATATAAGTATGATTTAACAAGGAGAGAATCTTTAAGCAAGTCAAATTCAGAACCCTCCATACGTTCAGTACGAGGTTATCATCTATCAAACAGCTAAAGTTAGTGAAATTGCACGATTGAAGTAGAGAGCTTCAATAAAACATGAAGTGCAGATAATGACTGACCTCGATGTATTTGCACTCTTCACCACGTACCGCCTAAGTGAAAAAAGAGAAATTCTATCTTGCACACTTCTTACAAACCACTCCAAAGAAGACCTGTTCTCGTTGACTAACAATGGAGAATAAAGTTGCCTGGACACCACATATCAAATTTCAAGGAGGGAGAAAAAAAAAACCCAACTACAAGTAACGAAATGAACAAAGAATAAAGCATATGGTTTCAATTTATTTTTTGGATGTAAAATTAACTGTTCATTAACACTAGTGTTATATTTGCTTCAGGTGAACCCTCATTGCATCTCCAGATGAACTTTTGTCTCATACCCCTCTATGTTCCAAAAGAACGATACAACAAACCCCAATAACACCAAGGAATTTATCACTACTGGACATGGAGTAGGGTATGTGTTGTCTTAATGCTCAACCTTGGAGAGATAAACATTAATTAATTATACACATATTCATTAGAACTTAGATGGTAAATATGATACAAAAGATGTGGACTAAAGCTTGATTAGATATTAGACCTTAGGGGAAAAGCCTCTTTATGTAGTTTTAGAAGCTAACCTAGATTCCAACTTGAATGTCTTTATTATAATTACCAAAGTATATGTTTTTCCTGAACTAATATTCTTATTATAACCTTGTGACGGAAAACACATATTAGTCTGAAGGCAATTGCACAGGTGTTCGTAGAAAAAATTAAAAATTTCTTGTTCCATTTGTTTCTATTTTGAGGATCTCCTTGCAGGTAACAGAAAGCGAATCACAAGTTAGGAATAAGAATGGGATCCAAATTACCAACCATCCGAGGAGACGAGTTAATAAAAGAGTGGAAAACTAGAAGCTAAAATTATGTAGAGTATAAGTTCACTAAATAAAGCTTTACCTTAACTGTTTTGAGTCCATTATATGGACTTTAATTCACTATTTCACTGTTAAGGCCACTGACTCTATCATAGTGCAAACTATCAAATATTCCTATACTCGGTGTTTTAAAAACCGGACTAGCCCGACAAGTTCAATTGGGAAAACCAGGACCAAAACCGATCCGGTTAGGCTTATAAAAGCTCTAATTAAAAACCCTCCCAAAATCCGTTAAACCGGCCGATTTTTGGAAAACCCATTACCCATTCTTGGTTTATCCGATTCAACCTATGTAAATGTATATTTTCTTAAATTTTTTAAATGTATATATATTTTTTAATTTTTGAAAATATATATTTTTAATTTTTTTAAAAATCGATTCGATCCCGATTCGACCCTGGTTCAACCTTTTGACCCTTGACCATTTCCCTTTTCCGGCTCAGTGGCCGGGTCGATTTTTAAAATGTTGCCTATACTAAATCTCTATATCAAGGTCATCCTTGCCTTCGCATAAAAATGAATGGCAATCAAAACATAGCTACCAAGGCTACTTCCAACGGGTGATTTTCTTGTAATATTGATCATCCATTTGTGATATTGTAAATTAAAATGCATTGCACAAATCCTAACCGCTTACAGTTTAGTGAAGAATATTGTATCTGACTAGACATCTTTCTTTAAACTTCACTCAAAATGCCAACCAATGATGTCACTAGCACCCCGTGGCTTTAGTGAAAAATTGAAAACATAAAGTTCAAAATGATGCCATTCTGCAACCTCTTCCCACCTTTAATAATAGTCAAAGAAGATAAGTTCCTCCATTTAACATTGAATGGCAGTCTTTCCTTTTTAGGGAGTTTCAAAAAAAAAAAGGTTTAGTTGATGTTTGGCAGATTTTCATTTTTTTTTTTTTCTCTGATGCTATTAGGAATTTGGGGGAACCAAATATAATTGAGGTCTTAGCTGGCTTTGCTGGTAACAGTGCTTATGGGAGGTAGCAGCACAGGAGGGCAATCTTCCATTTCTTGTCTGATTGTAGAACTGGTAATGTGGAGATGATGATAGTAATGGTGCTTATTTTGCCAGAATGAGGATGATTTGGTGGTAACTCTGGAGGAGGTAATGGGGTTTTGGAGGGTTTGGTGGTCACTCTCTGTCAAGTTTATTTGTGCAGTGACCATGGCTGTGATTGTTGGCTGAAATGATGGGTTTTCTTTTCTTTCCCATTTGTGGTTGAAGTAGTAGTAGTGGCATTTTCCTTTTTCTAGTTCAATCATGTAAGTTCGGATAAAATCATGGTGGTCTTGGACTTGGTGACAGCAGGGCAGGCTGTGTGGCCACCTGGCGGAAGCATTATTTATTTCTTGCTTCCATTCATCATGGACAAAGAATAGAATAAGACCAAAAGAAGATGGAACAAGGCTCCATTTGAAAACACCTTCGAGGGTTAAAAAGGGGAAAAGCTCAAAAATTCATCACCTCATAAAAAACTGATACTAGATGGACCCTAATGTTCAATATGACATGTATCATTTATTCCTGTCCCACGACCAATGTCATTATCATCATCCTATTCATTGGCTGCACCATTGACTAATTACCTTGCCAATTATATGAGATTATCATTTGTACTTACGTCCTGCATGAGTTTCAACTATTTAGCATATTAAAAACGTGATCCTTGGAGCAATCTAGATTTCCCTAAAAGTTTCTAGCCCGACATTGAAATTTACAGCTTTGTGAGAATAGAAGAACTTTAATCATGTATAGAGTAATCACAGAACACAAAACCTGAAAGATTTCGCAGCATCAACAATGTCACCTATGTATACATCATTTGGGAAAATCTGCACACATCAAGCTTGGAATTAATATGAAAACACGATAACTACTCAAAAAACATTGAAATTAAGGAACTATAGTGACTTAGTGAGAATTGCGTGTCTTTGATTGGACTTGAAAAACATGCAGAAACAGTACAAAATAGAAGATGCAACATTAAAGCTTGTAATTATCACTTGACATAAAGAATCACATAAAGAGTTTTTGTGTTTCTATTTTACCGGCTTTTGGGATATTACCTGAAGACAATTGTGTTTTACGGACTCGTTAAAGTTTGAAACTTGTGTTGACAAGTCTTTCAACTATAGGATGATAGCATGATATTGTATTAAGACGATATTTAATTAACTGTGTCCTCTTGTAGCAAGCCAATTAGATGCCATGGAGTATTAGGTAGCAAAGCCACCACCAAAGAAGCAGACTTAATGTAATGAACACTTTGGTTTTTGCAAATCACATATTTACTAGAATGTTTTACTTCTATTTATTGGCAGACAAGCCATAAGCAAAGGATAGAAAATTGAAAGTTTACAGAAACCCCCATGATAAAAAGGCTAAATATCCAAATATTTGACAATCAAGAAGTCATAGTGAACATACTGAAATAAACAGGGACTAAATACAGATGACAGAATAATCTGACAGCTGGATTTAAGGAAAGGAACGTGAAAATTTTCCCAGGGCGGTCCGTCTCTTACCGCTATTGAAGAAAACATCAGTTCAGTGCTATTTAATATTTCAATTTGATCAAACTTAGAGGGATTTTACTGTTCTTCATTGGCTCATGCTCCAGTAGTTTCAAGTAAGTTCTGTGAAGTAATAAATCCATTTCCGAAAGCCTACATTCACTAAGAGTGACAACCAATAATAAGTTAAAACTTCTTCCATTTCACAAAACTTTAAAAGCAGCCTCACCTCAACATTTTTTGGTTCCAAGGTTCCATCTACAGTTTCTATTATCAATTCATGATTCAGTTCTAATGGATCGATGGCACCTTCTATCTTTTGCTGGCTAATAATACTTTCAACATTTGGGATGTACGTCTTCAGGGACAATCTAACGCAGTTTTCTTCAAATTCAATTACTTTAACACCTGTCAATGTATCCTCGAATTTTTCTACGGCTTCAAACCTGACGAGCACAAGATATAGTCAAGCTATCAGAGAACACAGGGAAAACAAAAATTCTTAAATTTTCTGAGCAGACAGAAAACCTCTCGAGAATGCAGTTTAGATCCTGCAAAGACTTCAGTGTTGTCTTGTTATTCTCAATCTGATGACTGAGAACGAGCATCTTAAAGGAAAACAAAAAAAAGGTCAGACAATTTCACTCCAACAAATGGATTTCACGTGCCAACAGAGAAACTTAAAAAACTAAGAAATGGGATTAATTAAGAAAATAATTTCATGAAATAATTTTTCTTAACAGAAATATATTGACACAAACAGGGAAAGTTCTAGAACCCGAAAAACCTACTCTCTCACGCACAAACCGCCAAAACTTTTGTAGTTTCCAAATGTATAAACAACAATGGTACATTATAAATCATAATAAGACATTATCTGATTTGAAGAGAATTTTGATATTATCAGATAGCAACACACAGACAGCCCCATAGTAGGATCGCTTAGTTTGTTATTTATCAGATCTCGACACTGGTCTAATCTTGTGGGTGTTAAACTCCATTTTCAAAAGCTATATCTTGGATCTTAATCGCAAAAACATAGAAATATCAAAACCCATAGGTGTGGGTGAACCTTAAACTTAGTGTCTTTGTGTGCAGACAAGTTTGTTTCATCCTCTGTTTGGTTACAGCAATCTGTAAGCATATCTCCTTTTGCTTTCTCAAGGCTCTGCAATACATGACAACATGGTGTAAATATCTAATAAAATTTATTAAAATAAATAAAATTAACAGAAGAATATGGATGAAATAAATGCTAAAGAACATATAAATAAGAAATAGAATATCCAAGAAATACAGTTGTTCAAGGAACTAGCTATATCTTTTGAGAATAGTACAAGTCATGAGGCTCTGTATGTATTCAGGGAAGGAATTAATTGACTATAAGGGAGAAGAGGAAATGAATTATCTGTATAACATGTAGTACAATTTATTCAGCATTCCCTTCCCCTCAAAATGAGAGGACTGAATTCTTCAACTCTTTTGCAATTGGAATTCTCCAACTTATTTCCCTAGTTTAGGAAATTATAATTTTGAATTTTTAGTTTCACTCATCAAATGAAACCCTTAACAATAATGTAATTTCAATGACACAGATCAACCTTCCATATATGTGAAGGAAAAAATCTGGATTTGTAATGATTTATTAAAACTGTATTTCCAGTGTTGCACAACGAAAGTGGCATACTAAAGAGAAAACCATAAAGGTGGGGCAAAATTCCCTATAATCGGAAGAACCAGACTGCTCATAACAATAAAATCTAAAATTTGGTTCTGTGACACAGAGAACTGACTGGATCGGTCCAGTTCTCATTTTTTCTTTTCATATAACCAAAAACCAAATTGAACACTTATTTTTAATAAGAATTTTTATTTATTTTTAATAAATGTGTCCAAGTTTGATTGGTCAGTGCATTTGATTGTCCTCACCTTATCCGGAATATAACATAAAAGCAATTCCCAGAGCCCTAAATTTCATTTCTGATATTGCCCCACCCAATTCCGACACCATTCTCTCTTCTGAACTTTCATTTCTCTTGGTACCCTCACATATTATCTTCTAACCACCAACCTACCCTGCTGGCTCGTGTCGTCCAGATGTAGTTTACTTTGTCAATGCTTGGTGTGTGATATATTAGCTTTAAAAAATTGGGAGCTCTTTAATCTTGTGGAACATTATGTGAAGATGAGATGAGGTAGAATACACTTGGTATTGGGGGTGATTTCTTGTAATGAGAACAGAAGAGAAATTAATGCTATTCAGGATATTGTTAACGAGTAGATTGATTGCATTTCCTCATTGAAAAAGTTGGACACCTTTACTTCCTAATATATATTCTAAATTATCTCTAATTGAATGAAAAAATGAGGACATGAAATAAGATGTAAATGGATCAGTAAATGACAGGAAGTATAAGATTTGAAAGCAGAGAAGAACGGCCATTGTCTTTCGATTTTAATTTCTGTTTATCATTTGATTTGCATTTTTCTTTTGTTCTGTTTATTTCTTCGTTGTTTTATCAAAAAATGAAGAAAATGTGGTATATCTATGTTTAAGTCTCTGGTATATCTTCCATGCAAAAGAATTTGTATGATCAAGAGGAGCACGAACTGGAAAGACTCGCACAATAGTGGGGAAGCAAGAAAAAAGGTTTAATTTCAATTCATACTAAACCTATCTGTGTAGCATTCCTACTGTAACATATATCACATTGTGCTGAGTAAGTTTATTTTGTCCATTAGATGAGGAATTCCCAAGTGATGAAGGCATCATTCCAAAAGGTGTTAAACAAATTTTTGATGCATTAGAAGCTTGAAATAACATGAAAGGTACATTTTTAGAGCTGTGCAATGAGAAGTTAATGCATCTTTTGGCACCAGAAGAATGTATAAAATTCACAGATGACAAATCCAATATACGAATTGCGTTTATGGAGGACGGAAAAAGGAAATTGTTTTTTGTTTTTGAAAGGTAATCAATATTTTATTAATCAATGCATAATACACAAAAAGTGTACTATCAATTTAAATTAGAAAGTAACAACATGAAATTAGGCAGCCCGTCTATATACCTAATAGCCGCAGCATTAAACCAAGTATACAATGTCAAATAAAACAATTCTCTAATCTGCTCTGTTATCCGTGATTGATCTTCAAAACAACGATTGTTTCTCTCCCTACACACACCAGACGATGCAACCCGAAAAAAGATCTCATACAAGTTTGCTATCCTTATTTCGAAACTTTCTCCTCCATACCTTTAAGAAGGAACCAAAATCGTTTTCTAAAAAACTGAATAACTAGGCTTTCCTCCCCTACCTAATCAACTGTGAATCTTTCTTACTTTAAGTTAGGACAACTACCCAAAACCAATGTTTCAGTACATAAATAAACCGCAATTGCTCTTTAACATCGAAGAATTACTTATCAAGCACAGTCAATATTTTGGATAAAAGCACGAACCTGCGATTCAATGAAATTCAGTGAACAGCTTATACCCTCTAGCTCTGACGGGTTTAACGATATTAGACGTTAGTGAAAAACATCAATCATCTACCATAGTATTGTAACAGCAATAGTAACAACAATGTGCTTATTATGAATAACCAATTTTGTAGCAATCACAGCAAGATGCTCTATGTCTCATTGTTATTGTCACACTTAGAATGCTTATGATAGTGTCAGTTTTTGTGAACACTACACAATATGAATGTTCCAGCTTTTTTCAATATTTCTTACTTTCCAACATCAGTATTTCTTTATAGCACGAAAGTTGCAAGCTACATGTAAATAAATAAATGGCATACAATATCTTCCACGATGGGGTTAATTTCACAAATGGTCACTGAAGTTACGTCAAAATAACAAAACGGTCACTAAAGTTCCAAAGTTGCACCAACGGTCACTGAAGTATCACCCGATTTCAAGAATGGTCACTGAAGGACCAAATCAGTTGAAGCGTGAAAGATAAGGACCTGCACGCAAATTTGACAAAAAGCCTTCTTCTCCCTTGTTTTTCCGGCGATTTTGCAACCAATTTCCGGCGATCTCCGACCACCTAAGCTGCTGGAAATAGAACCGGTCGAAAGCACAACTCTTCCTCTTCAATTAGCATCCAACATCTCCCAATTTCATGAAGTTATGCGATCGGAATCGATGCTCAAACATCCACTGCCGGAAAATCTGAAAATGGCCAATAACTCGAGCTCAGGGCAAAATTGGCGAAGACCCATACCTGGGCAAGCTGGGCCAGGTGAAAAGGATGAAATCCACGGTGGTCGCGACCCATATCTTGGTCGGACGGCGCCGGAATCTGGGCAAAAAGCAGACCCAGTCGCGACTTCGGTCTGCATCGCGACTGGGTCTGCTTTTTACCCAGATTCCGGCGCCTTCCGACCAAGATATGGGTCGCGACCACCGTGGATTTCATCCTTTTCACCTGGCCCAGCTTGCCCAGGTATGGGTCTTCGCCAATTTTGCCCTGAGCTCGAGTTATTGGCCATTTTCAGATTTTCCGGCAGTGGATGTTTGAGCATCGATTCCGATCGCATAACTTCATGAAATTGGGAGATGTTGGATGCTAATTGAAGAGGAAGAGTTGTGCTTTCGACCGGTTCTATTTCCAGCAGCTTAGGTGGTCGGAGATCGCCGGAAATTGGTTGCAAAATCGCCGGAAAAACAAGGGAGAAGAAGGCTTTTTGTCAAATTTGCGTGCAGGTCCTTATCTTTCACGCTTCAACTGATTTGGTCCTTCAGTGACCATTCTTGAAACCGGGTGATACTTCAGTGACCGTTGGTGCAACTTTGGAACTTTAGTGACCGTTTTGTTATTTTGACGTAACTTCAGTGACCATTTGTGAAATTAACCCTCCACGATGTGGACAACTCAATGCTATAATAATAATAATAATGGGACAGCTGTAGTAATTATAACCTCGTAAACATCCCACCTTCCACATATATCCTCGAAAGCTCGTCGATTTCGCAATCAATTTTCATATTTTCGGCCTCCACTGCACTTAGTTCGGTCTTTAAACGCTGAAAAAGTTCATCTACATATACACCAATTCATTTTCAACATGGCCAGAAAACCCCACAAAAAATTATGATTAGTAATAAATATTTTGTACCTAGGTCTTCATCGGGCAACGAGCTTAAATGCGAAGACTCCGAGACTACTTGGTTAATATTCTTCTGCAAAATATATCCCGTTGAAATTTCACCTAAAAATGTGAATACTGAAACACTACATATCTGAATATTACAGAAATGGCTAGTAAGGACATGGGATTTCGAGTTTTTTACCTCGACCTCAAGAGCACACTCGTTCAGTAATTTATCCGTCTCCTCCAGGCTATTTTCAGGGGCATTATACGAATTTTCATAAAAATCTCTGAGCTCCCCAATTCGACTGTAATCAAATCAATCAAAACTGTATAAGGAGAAAAAATATATATATAAATAGATACATATATTCGTATATAGATGTAAAAATGTGTATATATCTATAGGTGTGTGCGAAAATGGGACCTTCGAAGGGAGTTAATATCGAGTGGATTTGAAGAAGAAGGGGAGGGAATTTCTCCATCGTTCATATTCTCTGAATATTTTGGCAATTTCAGTGGAATTTTTCTGAATTTTCTGCGTGAAATATCTCTGTTTCTGAATTCCCGCCAATGGCTATTAGAGTAAGGCCTTGTACTTGAGATAAGCCCAAAGGTAATGGGCTCCGGACCAATATGGCTTCCACACACCCAAAGGGACCACAAAATAAATAAATAATTGCTTCCAAAAAAATTTAAACGATTAATTAAAGAAGAAAACATTGAATTTTATATTTTTTTTGTTGTTATATTATCCAATCTCGACATACCATTAATATTTATCGATCTTGTTTTTCATACCAAAATAAAATAAATAGTAGGATTAATAATAGCGACAATTCTTTTATCGTCGTAAAAAACTAATGTGCTTATTATCTTTATGCCAATAGATAGGTATGGCTACTACAATTATTTACAACGTTTTTTAGAGTCTAATTTACAAGTGTGTTTACATTTAAAATAAGAGTAATTAGCACATAACGTTCTTACTTTTATTACTATTGTGAAAAACGTCATTACTTTTTATTTTTTGCCATTTTTAACTTTATTTCCACATTTTATTGCGCAAGATATCATTTTCATCTATTTTTCCAATTAAAAAACGTGACATGACGACAATTCTATTTAAATAAAACAAAAGGAAGAAACTAATTGCAACCATAATCATACTTTTCTAAAAAAAGGACACCAATGAAACCCAAATAAATTTTAAAATGGGGTAATTAGCACATAATGTAGGGTCTTTCACTATTAATGTCGAAAATGTTTCTACCTTTAATTTTTTTTGGCATTTTCACAATTAATTACACCTTTAATTGCGCAAACCATTCTTTCTATCCACAATTTTTCAATAAAATGTGTGAAATGACGAATATACCCTCCTACTTAAATAAAATAAAACAAAGAACAATTGCAACCATTGTCCCAAGTTTTTTTAAACGTGCAAACGAATCACAATTAAATTATTAAAAAATTAGAAATTAAATTATTTTTTTAAAAAAAGGTGCAAACGAGTCCCAATTAAATTTATTAAAAAATTTAAAAAGGCCAAAAAAATCCCAAATAAATTATTAAAAAATTAGAAATTAAAAAAATTCTTTAATTTTTTTTAAAAAATAGGAGAGTATATTCATCATTTCACAACTCTTTATTAAGAATTAGATGAAAATGAATAGTAATGATGATTTGCACAATCAAATGTGTAATTAAAGGTGAAAATGTAAAAAAAAAAAAAAAGGTAGGGATATTTTCCGCTATAATAATGAAATTTAAAGATATTATGTGCTAATTACCTTTTTAATAATTTGTTTGGGGGACTTATTTACGCTTTTTTAAAAAATTGAGATTATGGTTGCAATTAATTTTCTTTTTTTCTTTAAAG